TATACTAGCTTTAATGTACTGTACTTCATTGCGACCCTTATGGCAATAATGTAAACAGAGCAAAATCTGTAACAAAAGACCTTCTTTGGAAAGGTCACTTCTGCTAACTCTGCAACAGGAATATAGGTGGAAGACATAAATCTTCAGCTGTCAACACACTAAGAGAATTCAATTCAGAGCCTGATCTTAACTAGATAAAGCCTAAAGTTAATAATTTTTTGTTGTTGTTGTTGCAGTGGTACAGTTTTCCAGTGTATATACTTGCCATATCAAGTTGTCTCAAGGCAAAAGGTAGCAATGTTATAAATTAATTCCAAAGAAGAAAGCCAACTAGATAGGTAATTTAATTTTCAATAAAAGCTCTACACTGTATATTAAAACTTCCAATTTCTCTCAAAAGATGGCTCTACTTAGAAAGATGGCTTTAAAGGTTTGGTGTTTTCAGTCCCTCAAAGATTTGTAGAACTTATTTTCAGTTTATAAGTATCAAGAGAGTTGGGAGCGAGAGTGGGTTGCTTTGCGTTTTAAAAAAGAATCATGACCAGCCTTGCAAGCAAACCTTTGGAATATAAATCAAGCTGGATCCCCTTTCGGTTCACACACTGCTTTTGAACCTAAAATATTGGTAGCAATTCTCTTTGTGTGTTAATCAGAGCACAAGCCAACAGACTTGGCTTCCACTGCAAGACCAATATAGCTCACTGAAAGAGAACTTCTGTCACTAATGGAAGAACTATTTTAAAAAACATGTATTGAGTATGTGCCATTTCTTCCAATCACTTTCCACAGTGGAACCACATGTCAAGGAGCAATTCTTGTTATATGAAGCATATTCCATACTAACCTCATAAATAAGGAACTCAACCTCAAGCAGTGCGTTAGCACCAGAAATCTGACACACAGCCTTCATACGTTGACTTCATCTTGAAAAAAGATAGCGCCTTGGTAGTAACAGATGCCAGAAGCAGACAAACCTCTTCACAGTAATGTTCCCAACAAAGCTAACCTCCTTTAGCTAACCACTAAAAACACTGGTGCTACAAAGGCTCTTCTTTTTGGAAGGCTGAAAATAGCCAAGCCATGAGCAGGTTTGGGGTTGCGAATTAACTAGACTCTCTTTTCTTCCAGACACTGGCTGCAACACAGTGCTGCTCAGTGCATGACAGAGAACTTGCTACTCATGCCTCAGAACTGTTTTGCTATTTAAAGCCTCCCTTGAGGTCTACACAAGTCTACATAAGCTACATAATTTCTCTATTTCTGGGCTTTTGGTTACTGTTGTTCTTGCTGTAGTGAGGTTACGTCCATACTTGTCCTCCACCTCCACTTCCTTGGGAAACTGATTTCACAGTAATGATAAATACTGACGTTCAGAACACAATCTCATCTCATGTTTCTGTTGACTGATTCATGGGTTTTAAACCACAAGGAACCATTTTCTGATCAACAAGTCTAATCTCATACTGGGAATTAGATTTGTTCAGTGACGCAGCACAACATTGGTAAGGGCACAGTTACACTCCAAGATAAGTAAGAGGTTCTTACAGAAAGATGGCAATCCACAGCTTTCTTTTCTGCTAAAGACCAGACCAGCAAAAAGTGTCTTGAAGCTGGATAACAGGTTATTATAGCTATTAGTGGTATCAGACCTTCCACAGAGGTCTTCAAGAACAGATTTTTAAAACATGTCACAAATGTTTCAAGACATGTTCATTCCTGTGCCAGAAAATAATGGCCCAGCCTTGTGAGGTGCCTGACAGTTCCACATTTGCATCATTCCACAAGATAAAACTTCTGTGAGGAATTAGAGGATGAAGACTGGAGTCTGTAACTGCAATTATAGCTTCCCCCCACCCCCCCCTTCCAATTTAAGGGTAGAAGCTCCTAAAGAAAAGTTACCCTCTCCTGAGCTGGACAGAAGTGTGCCGAGGGACTTCAGAAATGCCACAGGGGGAAGTTCAGTGTTACAGCCCCCATCCTGCACAACACTGCCAGTTTTGATTTGATTTATAGTGCTCACACATATCACAGATTATCACATGCTCCAGTCAGTAAACACAAAGCCAAATATATTTAAAGTCTTAACTGATCAAGGAAACATGAATCATAACACTGAAATTATAATTCAGCTCTGAGAATGACATTAGAGCTCCAGTCACGTAACAATCACTACAAATGGACAAATTCTTCTCATACTTCAGCATTTCATTAGAAGCACAGTAAATTTAAACAGATCATCTCCTGCCCAAGTAGCAGAATGATAGCAAACCAACAATGCGCAAGTAAAGACACTATTAGAAGACAATGATCCAATATACACAAAAATTCTCAATCTCTTGTTCATATTTTAAAGACTGATTGTCAGTTTTTCAATAGCAGCAGAATTAATGACACTGACTCCCAAAACTTGACTTAAATTCAGCTGACAGTTTAATAGATCTACAGTGACAGTGACAGAATTGCAGTTTTCACTTAGGAAATAGGAATAAAATGCAAAATGGTGTGGTAAAAAACAAAAGCCAAGAAAGCATATGCATCTAAGAACAGTGGAAGTTTTTTAATTTATTTGCATATGGATAATTTGAATTAGGCATTTTTTCTTAGTGCTGCAAAAAGCATGTTCTTCAAATTAGGACTGAAACAGAAGAGAGGGATCCTATTAAATAATAGCCCTCTGCAAACAACTGTAACCCAAATGCTTGAGAGTCTCATATTCATTATATGACAGCTCTCAAATTAGGTAAATATGTATGTCTAACAGTAGAGAGAGTGACAGAGTACATACCAGTAACATTTTCTACTCTGTGAACATGCACAGTCTTCTCAATTCAACAGTCAGCATGGACATGTATCAGTCCCAACAACAAATATGCTAGAATCAGTCAAGGGTCTTACTGAGATTAGGGACTATGAGAAATTCTCCATTTTTGCTTTAATTTTTGAAAATGCTCATTTCATAAAAAACACAAAACGTCTGGGGGAAAAAAGCAATAGTGGCACTTTTGGACAGAGACATGAAAGCATCGGTTTCTGGCTAGAAAAAGAAAGAGGGAGAGACAGAATTGACTGAAAACAGTCAAAACAACTGTTTTTATTTCAAACAAAGGGTGCAGCCCTGAGCAGCTAACAGAGAAGACGGCTGCCCTGACAGCCAGGCTACCAACCAGCCCCATTGCTCTGCTTTCTCACTATCATCGCAACCCAGAAAACCTGGATTTTCATATCTTTAAAAAACTGCCCCAGATCTGTTTTCTAACTAAACGCTGGTTATAGCGTAGTTTTGCATTACATTTTAGGTAAAAAGAAATCTTTTGTTGAGGTGGTTCTGCAGCAAAATTTTGCACATTCACCCAAGAGTGGCCTATGCCACCTAGCCCAGTAAGACAGCTTTAGAAATATTCACGGGCCACCAGTGGCCATAAAAGGGCCCTGAATCACCTCAAGTCTCCCTGATAGGCTCAGAATACTATTCTTAAGACAAGATGCAAGTTTGCAGGTAGTATAAAATTGTAAATATATCACTTGTAGAAAAGCTATGTAGCAAAAAATTCATCCTCTTCTAGTTGGAAGAAGAGATCTTAATAAACAATAACCAACCTGAGACAAATCTCAGAACTAGATAAATTTAGAGACTAGGAAGTCTACATAAACAACTGGAGAAAATCCTGAGTGCAGGGTATACCTGGAGTATAAAATGGTCATCAAACACTAACAATAAACTTGAAGGAAATAAATAAGATCTATTAATAAGGAACACACATGGTATCTACTCAAATCAGGACTGAAGCAGTCTGGTATACTCAAGGGAAATTATCATTATCTGAAACTTTCTTTTAATGACGAAGTTAAAAGTGAAAATGTAGATCTGAAGTTCCAGTTTACAGTATTGTATTCCCTGAGGGCATCAGCTTTCTAAAACAAAGGAAAGGCATCCAAACCCTAAAGCAGAAAGTCACGAAGCAGGGTGGCAGGCTGCAGAGCTCGCTCTACCTACTTGGCCAACAGTAAACCTTCTTCCAAGAAGGTTCAGTGGGAGTTCAGATCCTACCAACATAACAAACAGTCAGATGCAAGGAAACCTGGAGGTGAAAGGGATGCTTAGTTTACAAATGCAGGAAATGTCTCATCTGCTGCTCTCACAACAGACAATTTTAATTACCACATTTAAAAATTGAACATTTTTAGCAACACTTTCAGGACCATGTGAGCATTTCTGACAACCAGAATGAGTTTAAAAAGCCACAGCACTATTTTTAGCTTTAAAAATCAGCACCTTCACAGGTATTCCCAAACCAATTAGTCCTTGTTACAAAGTAACAAAGTTACA